CCAAAAAAATCACAAAAAAAATGTCCTTCAGTCGTCAAATTCCACGGCAACCATTCGTCATTTTGGTCACCAAAAATTGGCATGACCTTGCTAAAAACAACCATAGGTAATTACATAATGTACTTAATATTAAAAGAACCTCCCATAGGTAATTACATAATGTACTTAATATAATGTACTTAATATTAAAAGAACCTAAGCCCGATGCAAAAAAATATTATATAATAGGTGTGATTATTAGATTTTATATTCTTTCTAGATGACACATGTAGTTAATAGATTTCTGGTTCAGCACCATCGATATTTTTTTTTCCCTCTTCTTTTTAAAATTCACTTTTAGTTGTTTAGATTTGACATTTAGCACTTTGATTTTGGATTTTGCCACATTTTATTTTAATTAATTTTTAAAATTATTTTATTTAATTTCATTATACTTCAATTCTTTAAATGGTTAGATTTAGTTCTTATTTTTTTAATAAATATTTTATTTATTTATTTGAAATTATTTTTTCATTTTTTTAATTTCATTCTTTATTTTTTTCTTTTTAGATTTGTTACTCATTTTTTTATTTCTATTTTTCATTGTTTTGATAAATTTTTAGACTAATTTTATTTTTAATTTTATTATTTAATATTAAATTAAAAATTTAGTTTTTTTATTGAATTTAAAACTACTATGATTTTATGGATTTTGAATTTAAATGATTAATTCAAGATTTACTTATCATTATTATAGTATTCTTTTTCTGTGAGGATTTTTTACTCATGAAAAACCACCTTATCCTTCATTTTTGAGATGTCATGTTTTTCAAATCTTAAGGAGTCGGTTGTAGTTTTGGAGTCACAAGTAAGGGTGTTTATAATTTGATTTAGTTTAGTTTAGATTAAAAAAATCAATCTAACTTAATTACATTAATTTTATGAAATATTAACCGAACTACATTAAAAAACAATTCAAACCAAACCGGTCCGGTTAAATCCTATTTTTATGATAAAAAACTAGGAAATCTAATCCCATCATCTAGACTCTCTAAATCCTTTCTTTCTAGCTTTGAAAATCTGAATCCTGACTTGTCAATCCAAAACTTTACCTGGTCGTTTGACTGTCTCATCCAAATCTTAGTAATTAAATTTAAATTTGTTATTAAAATCTATAAAAAAGACTTGGACAAGCTATTGGTGGCATTGGATCCCTCCATGTGAAAAATTATTGTCCTATATGGTTAGAAAATATAAATTATTTCAATTTTTTAATGGAATTCATCAAATATGTGTCAAATTTCTAGATATTTGAGATAAAGATGACTTCAAGCCTTTAAATATCCATCATTAATTTTGCAAACGACAAATAATAAAAGCAAAAACAGATTGATACGCAAAGGGGAATGCCCCACTACTTTTTTTGTATATATAGAATTGTTTATTTTTGTCAAAAAAATGAAAAAAATAAAGATCGAGAATTAATTAAAAGGACAAGGAGGAGGCTTTTTGTGAGAGGCAGGAAGTTGATGTTAATTCTTAGAGTCAGCTATCTATTTATATAGAAATTTTTTGTTAATTTTTTGGTAGATTTGGTTCGGTTTGAGTTGGTTTTTGGTGCAAAACTGAAATCGAACCAAACCTATTAAAATTTATGGTTTTGAAAATCAGTTTTTTAAACCTATTAAAATTTATGGTTTTGAAAATTAGTTTTTAATTTTAATTTTATTTTTTCTAGTTATTTTTTTTAATTTTTTTAATTAATCAGTTATTTTAAACACCTGGTCCCAAGTATTCAAATTGACAACACAAATGATCTTCGTGTTACCTGTCCTAAAAATCTGGTGTAATAGCGGCGAAGGCCCTTGTGGTCACGGGAGAGTTTAACAATTAATTGTACGAATTAAGTTTACCTTGGGTTAACAAACGGTACGGATGCCACATAATTTTCTTTTGAAGAGATCTGAACAAGTATCCAACTTGTCCATTCATTACACAGGATGAATGAAAATGCCAGATTCATGAATGGACAAAAAGATTGAGGACCACATACTTGAATCTGGCTCTGAGGTCATGCTTGCAAAATTGAGAAAGACCACTCACTACACCTTTATCTCACAATTTCTGAAGAGGTGAAATCATTCTTCTTGATTGTATCTTGTTAAAGACGCACTTAACTCTATCTTTTCGGTTTTAAATTCGCTTTAAAGTTTTTACCATGAATAAATTTATTTTATGTTATTGTTTTTACTTTTTATCCTTCTAACCAAACAAATTTATATTCTTATAATATATCTGTCCTTCCTTTCTGTCCTGAAATATCATCGGTACACAACTCCAGTGGATGACTAATGGAAAGAACCAGTCTAATTTACTTCAACGAAAAATATCGTCTGCAGTTTCAGTAAAGAGTGTTATAATCCCTAGTTAGAGGATGACTGTAGAGTTTATGCATGCATGATTAATTAAGAAAAATTAAGAAGCGTTGTAATCCGGTCCCTCAATCTCATTGATCCTCATAAATAAAGAAAATAAAAGGTATTTATCCGTTACAAATCTTGTTTTTGAATTAGATCAAGATATTAATTATTTTTTATTTTGGTAGTCTTTATTTTTATTTTCTAATAAAATAAATTTGTACCAAATTTTCTTTACACTTTATTATTTTTGTGATAACCTTATCTATTTATTGTGAATCTAACTATAAAAATATGATGTGTTTGAAAGTATGGCTTTATTATTTTTGTGATAACCTTATCTATCTACTGTGAATCTAACTATAAAAATATGATGTATTTGAAAGTATGATTATAGTTATTTTTAAAGTGTTTTTTTATTGAAATGTATTAAAAAAAATATTTTTTATTTTTAAAAAATTATTTTTAAAATCAATGTATCGAAATAATTTAAAACCCTAAAAAAATTATTTTTTAATAATTTTTTTTTAATTTTTAAAAACATGGATACAACCATGTTTCAATCGCTCGTGCATCATGCTTGCTTACCATTTCTACAGCGAGATCATCGGCATGGAGGCCTCTATAAATAGAGCCAACATGCAACTTCATTTAATACAATAACTCAAATATATACACCAGAATGGGGGAGAGAGTGGGGGAGATAGAGAGAGGGAGAGAAATGGAGGTTGCTCAAGTGCTTCACATGAATGGGGGAAGGGGAGAGAAAAGTTATGCACAGAACTCACTGGTTCAGGTAATTAATTATTTAGATTATGTGAATATATATATATGCTTCTATGTATGCTCAGGAGCAACAAAACAATAAATAGTCGTCGAACGCTATTTGAAAGTGCACTGCTCAGAATATATATTTACAAAGAATAGACTCGAATCTTAAACCTCTGGAACGAGTGCATTTTTCAGAAACATGATACTATTAATCATACCAGGAACAACGTATGTACACAGAGACAAGTCAGTGTAGTTAATATGCTTTATTATCTTAATAATTAGCAGTGATTAGCTAAGATTTTGAACCAGAACTTGAAATATCCTATGCTTGCTGGGGAAGCTATTAAGCACGGACAAATTGCCCATCAATAACTAGAAGTATTTGAATTAAATGAAAGAAAAAGCTATTTTTCTTAACAGATCACTGCTTTGTATTTTTGGACATGCAGCGAAAGGTGATATCCATCACAATGCGAATCGCAGAAGAAGCCATAACCAATATCTACTGCAACACCTTCCCTACAAGTTTAGCCATAGCAGACTTGGGATGTTCATCAGGGCCAAACACTCTATATGCGGTATCTGAACTTGTCAAAGTAGTGGACAAGGTCCGCAGAAAACTAGGCCATCAATCACCAGAATATCAGGTGCTGTTGAATGATCTTCCAGGCAATGACTTCAATGCCATTTTCAAGTCATTGGCAGGCTTCCAAGAAAATCTGAAAAAACAAATGGGAGATGGGTTTGGGCCATTGTTTTTTTCCGGAGTCCCTGGTTCTTTCTATGGCAGGCTTTTCCTTGCCAAGAGTCTGCATTTTGTCCATTCTTCCTACAGTCTCATGTGGCTGTCTCGGGTATGGCATCGTTATATGTCACTAGTTTCAGAGGCTGCATCATAAAATTTCCGGCTTGCACGCCCCTTTTACATTCAAATAATTCCGTAGGCAAGATAACAATAAGCAAGTCTAATTATTATAGGGATAAAGAAAATAAAACAAGATTATATAGAATTATGTTTATGTTTTCAAGTTTTAATTTATAATTTTTTCTTCGTGATTATAGGTCCCTGAAGGGCTGGAGGGTAACAAGGGGAACATTTATATGGCCAGCACAAGTCCACCAAGCGTGCTTAAGGCTTATTACATGCAGTTCCAAACGGATTTTACTCTGTTTTTAAAGTGTCGCTCGGAGGAGCTGGTGGCAGGAGGGCGTATGGTTTTAACAATTTTGGGTAGAAGAAGCGAAGATCCTTCCAGCAAAGAGTGTTGCTACATCTGGGAGCTTTTGGCTGAGGCTCTCAATGAAATGGTCTTAGAGGTAAATTATTGAAGAGTAATATATATATAAAAACTAGAGAAGATCAAAATAATAAGAACAAAACAATGCAGGGGATCATAGAGGAAGAGAAATTTGACTCCTTCAACATTCCTCAATACACTCCATCTCCATTTGAAGTGGAATCACAAGTTAAAAAGGAAGGGTCTTTTACCATTGATCGTTTGGAGGTATCTCACATCAGTTGGAATGCTTACGATAATGAAGTTCACCAATCTGAAGCTTTTGAAGATGATGGATACAATGTTGCTAGGTGCATGAGAGCTGTGGCAGAGCCCTTGCTTGTTAGCCACTTCGGTGAGGCGATTATCGATGAGGTTTTCTCTAAGTATGGAGAAATTGTGGCGAGTCGCATGTCAAAAGAGAAGACTGAATTTGTCAATGTAACTGTTTCCTTGACTAGAAAGGGATGATCTTGATGACTTGTTGATTCGATCATGATCATATGGTTGCCAGTATCATAGTGAAATTAATCTATGTTTTCCTAGTTTACTGTTTACTTGCTCATTGAATGTTGTAGCTCAACTGTTCTTCATGTCCTAGTCTTGAAGGATCTGATCAGCTAGTTCGAGCCTTTCTTAATTTTATATATAAAAGAGAAAGTTATCTATTATGATTTTCTTCTTAAAACTATGATTTAAAATTTGTCAAGGAATTGGAAGTCTTTAAATTGTTTGCCTGCCTTTCATTGCTCTCATTTTCATTTGTAAAGCCTGTGAAGCCAACCATCAAAGTCAACAATGGTGGGAGAAGGTGAAGCCATCCTTTTACACCTTAGTCAAAAAATGTAGGCACCAAATTGATGCTACTTGCCCTACCCCTTGTCTTTTGCATAGATGTTTGCCTATAAATAGACAATGCATCCAAACATTATATACACACCACAAGAGAGAAACTTGAGAGCAAGTAGAGAGAAAGAAGAGTGGGTGAGGAGAGAGTAATCCCACAAAATTGTGAGGTATTTGTGAGATAGTAAGTGAGATGTTTTTCTCCTAGTAATAGAGAGATTTTGGTTGTTCTTCTATTATTAAAGAGAAGTTGTATTCCCACATTACTTAGTAAAATCTTTCTATACTTGCCTATGGACGTAGCCCAATTGAATGAACCATGTAAATTCTTGTGTGTCCCATTTCTCATTTTATCATGTCCTTTATCTTTTGTCTTGTTGGGTTTGCATGCTAGCATCCTAACAGTGGTTTCAAAGCCTTCTGGTTGGTGTTGTTAATACACAAAGGTATTCGTGTATACGGTTACTATTCACGTCTACAATACTATTCACCTATATGACACTATTCATTTATACAATACTGTTCACATACGTTACTGTTGGCGTATATAGAAAGTCAGTGCGGTGATTAAATACAATCTAGAAAGTTCTGTCTAAAGAGATTGAGTTTTAAGTGGGATCGTTTGTGACCCTTCCAATCTTTCCTGGGAACTTAGTGAAGTATTATTCATATGATACTATTCTATATACGTTATAGATCTATGAAACGATGATAACTGAATAGATATTGGTGAATACAATGGCAACAAAGTACGAGATTGAGAGGTTTAATGAGAGCAATTTCTCACTGTGGAAAATGAGAATCAAGACAATCTTAAGGAAGGACAATTGTTTGGCAGCAATTGGGGATTGACCCGTGGAGATCACTGAAAATGAAAAATGAAATGAGATGGATGGCAATGCTATTGCTAACATACATTTAGCATTAGCCGATGAAGTATTATCAAGTGTGGCGGAGAAGAAAACA